TTTTGTCACACACACACACACACACACACACACACACACACACACACGCACACACACACACGCACGCACACACACACACACGCTCACCCTATTTTCTAGTGTCTTACCAGTATGTTCATCCGCTCAGCTGCTGCAACTGCGACATTCAGCTTGCGCTCATCATCCTCTCTCTCCTCCTCAATCACACCCAACCTTATCAAAGGCACAGACAGCCAAGACATAGGAATTGGTTGCTTACTGTGTGATATTAAAGACATTTTTGCCAACAGTATTGCGCACATGCAGTTACCACACGTCCAACCATCAACTTGTTGCGTGTAGTCTTATGACTAATTCCAAGTGACTATTGACAAAATAAAATACTGTTTTCTGATTTCTACCTGAAGGTGGCGCTAGCAAGCTGCTCCTCTCGCACAGCCAGCAGATTCCGGAGCTCATTCATTTCCGCCTGCAGTATTGCATTCTGGTCTTGAGTTTGGTTAATGAAGTCCTCCAGTCGCTTTGCCATTTCCAGCTCACGCTCAGTCACTTGGTCCATTCCCAGGCGAAGCGCTGACAATTCTTGGGCATGCTGGTTCATGGATCGCAAAGACAATCTGATATACATCACTGGGAATCCATAAATAGTTATCTTATTCATATGACAGCTTTCTGAGGCAGGTATGACATACCCTGTCGAGTAAGCTGAGTTCCTCCTGCCCAGACTGGTTCTCTCTGGGCTCCCTGTTTTGTATGTCTTTAATCCAGGGAACTGGTGCACATGGTTTGATCGCTTCACTCTGATCAAGAAAAAAAAATTCACACTGTGAAAAGTCTCATTTTCAGCCTGCTCAGTCTCCAGAGTGGACCCTGCGTAAGTAAGATGTAATACACTCCAGCTCGGGATAATCTGTATGGAAAATGGATAGATCGAAGTTATACTATCCATTTGGGGCTCATTCGGTCTTTTAATAAGTGAGGAGTGGAGTCTTTGACTTGGTGCATGGGTAAAGTGAGAAGAGACGACTTCTGTTGTGATTTGGTGCTACATATATAAAATTAAATTGAACTGGAGACTCAATTAGATGTTCATGTATTTTATAATTAATACAGAGCAGCAATTAAATGGTGTAGTCGTAAACATATTATTTTGGGGAGTAATATATCTATAATGAGTGCCTGACTTCCTATTCCTCCTGTCTCTTTGTCAAGGAGCATGGAACCACCAGTCCTTGGTTTGCCATTCGAACCACTTCTAATGGAGACAAATGACCTTTGCCTTGCAAACATGTGATTTGAACATGGAAAAAAAGAATCTAATCAATGTCCGCAGTGCAGTAATTGGAATTTTTACGTCAGCCAGTCAGAAAAAGTACTGTGATTTTCCACATATGTGGCCTATCTAAGTGGTTGTTGCACATTGTTTTTCACATCAACACACCACTGATATGCTAAACATATAAACAACAGAATGTAATATTTAAGAACAGGTGACCTCACTTTTCTATATTCTTTTACACTCACTGTTTTTGGCGATGAGATGAGGGGCTGGTTTGTTTCCAAATCTTGTTCATGGTTAGTTGTGGGAAGAGCTTCAGAACTTGTCTGCCTCTTCAGTTTTTTTTCAGGACGTCTGTGTGGAGCACTTTGAGTTCTGGTGACTGGCTTCCTCCTCCAAGCTTTGACATCTCTGTGAAATAAATACACATAAGTGCCACTCTTTAATTATTTATTATTTAGAACAGACAAAATTGAATTGATCAGATCCACCCATCATGTGATGTGTGCGCACAAGATGGGCTGCGGACTGGTAAAAGAATGTGTTTTGCCAGCTAAGTCATAAAGAATATTTTTCTCTGCTAACTTATTCTTTATTCGGAGGTTGCGCATCATTGAAACTGTCAACAGCAATGTTCCACAGTATATGACTCCTCAAAAAAAACCACTGCAGCTACACCGGAGTGGTGTAAAGCTCTTGTAGCATTAGGGGGGTGCTCTTTGTAACAGCTGCAATGTGAGAGAGTGATGCAATGTTGTGATTTTGAATCAGTTAAATTTCTGACACATAGCTTGTTTCCGAAAACTCAGAAAACATTGCTGTCAAGCACGGGTGGAAAAAGCAGATCTTGGAATTCGGTGCACACATAAAGCGCACCGGATTTTTAGGCGCACGGACGATTTAAGAGAAAATTCAAGGTTTTTAGGTGCGCCTTATGGTGTAGAAAATACGGTCCATGCTGATCATTGAACCGTTGGAATACTGCTTGACCTTTAGAGGCCCTGCATGTTCTGAAGGATCTTTGTAGATGAATGAAGAGATCCAGCAGCAGAAAAAAAAACCCTCTTAAATTGGATTGTAGATCACATACCCATCTCTTGGGCTCTTGGAGTCCTGAGGAAGCTGCTGGAGGGATGATTGGTGAGGGCTAAATTTGCTCAAGTCTTTTGGAGGAATGTACATTGGCTTGGATTGTTTCCTCGGGCTGTGAGAAAGAAGGTACTTTTACGAGAGTATGACAACAACAAATGACAGATCTTAGAGTAAACATACCTGTTAATTGTGATTTGATGCATCTCAGGGCCCAGTGACTCTGTTATCTGGTTCAGAATCCAAGGCAGAGGGTGCAATTTTTCAATTGTTTCCTAAAGAATATCAAAGCTCTGTGTCAGTGTGTGTGTGTGTGTGGAAATGAAATACATACAGCTGTAAAAGCACACACAGACCAACACTCAGAAGAAAGCCACCCGGTAAAGGGGCATAAAGATAAGTCACAGGTGTGTTAGCAATTTAAGGACTTGCTCGTCACCAAAATCACAACTAAAATACAATAGACTACAGTGGACAGGTTATCATGTTATCAGGTGACGAAGTGCGTGAAAGGGTTAAAACAACCACCACTGTATTCAAAGTGCAGCACATAGGGCAAAATAATTCTAACGGCTATAAATTAATAAGGAAGACAGTATAAATCACAAAAACAGTAAAAGTAAAAATCAAGCATCATGCTGTGTCAAAGGCCAAAGAATAAAAATGAGTTTTAAGACAAGGTTTCAAGATGGGTAGCGAGGGGGCTTGCCGAACATTCAGCCGGAGGTCATTCCAAAGAGAGGGACCAGCAACGGAAAAGGCTCAATCCCCTGATCCCCGATGAGCCTCCAGTTAGTTCTTGGTACCTCAAATAGTGTCTGGTCCGC